AGCGCGCAAGCGCGCGCGCGCGCTAGAGAGAGAGAGTGAGAGAGAGAGAGGGAGAGAGAGAGAGAGAGAGAGAGAGTGAGAGAGAGAGAGAGAGAGAGAGAGAGAGAGCTGTCTCGAAGGGAGAGACAGACAAAGAGCGTCCCGACCTCTGCTCCGAGTGCATCCCCCACAGCGGTCGACAGCTCCGCCTCGCTGCCAAACGCCTCTCCCGCAGTCGCACGGAGGCGAACCTCGGCCGCCACCGACGCGCGCGACGCACGCGTCGTGCGCGACAGCCGCGAGAGCGTCGAGAAGCCCGCCTCCGACTTTGGCGCCTATGAGCAGGAAGAAGGCTCCTAGAAGCTTCCTGGAGACGCCTGGCCCTCGGACTCCTGTGCAAGCCTCGGGCAGCACTGGCTGGTCGGCGGGGACGAAGGTGCCCCCTCCCATCGGAGCGAGGTGGCGAAGGTAGTCGTAGTTGTCCGCCGGGTTGAGACCGTACTCGAGCAGCTCCCGCTGCTGCGCCGCCGACAGCGCCCGAGCGCCGCCTGCTGCGGCGCCGCCGTCCGCGCTGTCCTTTGAGCTGGAGGGGGCTCCCGCGTCGTGCGCGGCGATGTCAAAGCCCTCGAGGTCTTGCTCGGCGGCCCACGCGCGCGTCGACTGCGACGCACGCTCGCTCGTCGCGCGGCCCAGGTTGGCAGAGATCTCTGCGGGCGTGAGCACGTGCTGAGAAGCGGTCGCCGCGAGCGGGTCGCGCTGCGAGCGGTGGACGAGGTGGAAGTGCGCCGCGGAGGCGCGGTCCTCGATGAAGGCCTTCTTCTTGCCCATTATTCACGCTGCTGATAGGAGCACTGGGCGCGGCCTTGGCGGCGTCTTCTTGTCTGTGTGAGTGCCAGTGCGCGCCCGTCCCGTGCCCAGTAAAGAAAGAAGGAAAGAAAGCACCCCACCCAAGGGAGGGATGGGAGGACGGCACGCCGCCACCACACAGGGATTTTAAGAAGAGGTGTGTGGTGCGCTATCCGTCGCCCACCCTAGTCCCGTGCCCAGTGTCGTGCGAGGGATTGGTTGTAAAATTCTTTATCTTGCTCGGTGCTCTCGGCCGTAATGACTGCAATTTTTTTCTAGAATTCTTCTCTTCCCGACTTGGTAGGATCCACGCGCACGCCAGTCACCGCCCGGACCTCAGCGTGGGCGTCCATTAGCGCCCGAAGCCGGCCATTAGCGCACTGTAGTCGATGGAACGTGCGCGTGGCGTTGGGGGCTGCTCGAATGCACGAGGGTGTTTGCGCGCGACAGATGGCGTGCGGCGGGCGATGTAGGAGAGGTCGTCGTCCGTCAGCTTTGCCAGCGCCGCCGGCGCGCCCTCGAAGGCCGAGCCCGCGTGTCGAGCGATGTAGGAGAGGTCACACTCCAAAAAAACCCACCTTCCCTTTGTGTGTGTTCTTGTTTTCTTATCACCCTATCTGTGAAGAAATCTACCTTCGCTTCCCTTACCTTTTACCCGCACATTCAAAACGCAGAAAACCCTCTTTCTCTTTGTCGTCCCCGACTATTCTTGACCGGGCGCGGTGGGTCGCGTCTCGCGACCCGGTGGGAGCTTTACTGCGGCGTGCCGTCCTCCCATCCCCCTGGATTGCCTGTTTTATTTCTTTTTTACGGGACGGCGCCTTCCTATCAAAATCAACGGCGTGCACTAACTCAACTTCGACGAAAAGGAATTTTACTGGTTGCCCGCCAAAAGAAAGCCAATTCTTGACTTGGGACGGGCGACCTTCTCTCGAGGTTTCGAGGTACACATCGCCCCCCCCCCCCGGGGGGGGCCAATTTTACTGGCATGGACTGAAGGCTCTCTCGTGGTAAACGCGCAGCATATGCTGCATCGAACGGCGGGCGCCGCATCGCTGTCGTGTGCCCCGTGTGTGACGCGTCCCGTGCCCCCGAGTTCATTTTAACATCCGCATCGCTGTCGCGCCGGGCATACAACGGCGACGTGGTCACACTCCAAGAAAACTTGTGCCCGCCGCCCCGCGCAAGCCGCGGCTGCTCGAACGGCAGTTGTCGACCGCCGGCAGTTGACCGGCAAGATGAAGTCCACTGCGCTCGAAAAAATACCACCGGAAGCGCCTCGCCGAGGCGCACAATAGTCCCCGTCAGCGCCACGCGCGAGAGCATGTGTCCAATGTGCAACGCGGCGGCGCGATCAGTCACGGGACGACCGACGGAAGCCAGATAAGCCACAAAACTCGCTTGCAGAGCAGGTTTTCACCGATTTGCTGTGGGCGTTGGCTGAAAATAGTGCTCAAACCGACCAAGTTAAGCGAAAATTGGTCCAACGAAAACGGCACTAGTTAAAGGGCAAAAACCGATTTGCTGTGGGGGGCGTTAGCACCGGGAAAACGATTACAAAACGAATGGGCCTGCCTTTTGCAATCCACAGAGGAAGTGAATGCCAACCAGATAGCAAGGTGCAATGCAGCTCGGTGACCGGGTTGACGGAATTGGGGTGGAAATTAGGGGAGTGCATGCAAACACTTTATGGTGAGCACTACAACAAGGACTGTCCTCAATCACATTAGGCATTTAGGCCGAGAGCCGAGGGTTGCAGGTAGAGAAGAGGGAGCTGGCAGCGCCGGCTGCTCTCCGAGTTCTTCATGCCCCGCGCGCCTGACCCAGGCGCGAAAACGAATCTGCGAGGCGTGGCCGCTCATGCGGCCCGATGGGGAGGAGCGGGGCGGACTGCGGGGATCGGCTTCTTACACAGCCCTTCCCTGCAGCGAGCCCCCCCTCCAACCCACCCGCGCTAGGTCTCGGGGGACGCAGGGGTCACACCCGACGACCTCGGGAACTAGCTAGCCGGGGCAGTCGGAGAAGGGGCAACTCCGTGCACTGACGGTCGGCCGTCAGAAAACACGCCTGCGTGGCTCGGGTTACACCAATCCTCGCTACCCAACGCGGCCAAAGGATATCCACCTCGAGAACCTCGAGAACTCTCCAACACTCACTACG